CTTACGTCAAGTTTGTTCCAGGCGTCAGAAGCTCCGTAGATGTGAGTGAGACTCTAAAAAAAGAGCAAAACGAGCTACTCGAAGCCCAAGCGGAGATGCATAAAGTTTCTCTGAAAAGTCGAAAAGGGCTGAGACAAAGCTGATAAATATTTTATCCGATCAGTTCTCAATAGAAGTTTGATCAGAAACATCTAGAAAGTGAACAATCACATGTCGCGTTCGTGATTGGATGATCACCTGTACTCTACTGTGCTTAGTAGCGTTCCGAAACTATCGGGAAGTCCAACGTCATCAAAAGTGCTATAAGTACCCTAGATTTTCTGTACATAAAGGAACCTTGGAGCAAAGCGTTTCTTCTATATTTCGCGCCTCTTCTCTTGTGTTCAGGTCTCTGTGTAGATTTAGCCTGGGGGTTACTAAAAAGGCTAAGGAAACCGAATCTAGCGTTCACTTAGAAGATTTACACTATGAACTTAACCAGCAAGGTTGTGTGATCGACCCATTACTCTTTCCGCTTTTCATCAATGACGTGTTTTCGCCCTCTCAATACGGTAAACCTTACTTTTCTGCTGATGACCTAAGAGTGGTTTATACATTCTGGCCTCCTATCAAAGAACGTTGTTTTTAAACAGCAATTAAAGAAGCCGTAAACAATAAGAAATGGAATATGCCGTACAATCTGTCTTTGAATTTTGACAAAGGTGAATTTATTTACATTGTCCACAGCCTTAACTAAAATTTGGCCCTACACAAATATACTGCAACCTCTTGACACTGTTCCTGACTTGGGTTTGAGGCATAGCAACAGTTTGAACTTTTCTGAGATTATTATTACATAAAAATGCACCGTACCCACCCTTGAATATGGGATTTCAAGTATTATGACTTCAGGAGCATTGAAAGTGTTCAAGGAAGATTCAATAAAGCAGTTTTGGGGTATTATGACAACAAGGATTACCACCAAAGATGTCAATGACTCAAGTTAGAACCTCTCTGGATCAGACCCATTAGATCAAACTTTGTCTTCATCTACCGGCTTATAAATGATATTTCTTGCCCTTCGACATCTACCCCTTAGTATATTATCATATCATCCTACAACACACGCAATAAAGAAGATGTCCCACCGATCCTGAGAACCTACACGAACCTATGCCAGAATCTCTTCTTCATTAGCTATTCAACCATGTGGAACAGATTCCCAGTAAACCTCTGTTGCAGTGAAACTATAACCCTATTGAAAAGTCTCCTTGATGACCTTTCTCAAAGTGGTCCGTGTCACCAATTAAATGTCAGTATGATTAAAAATGATTTATACGAACAAGGCCCACTATCCATCTAATTGTTTACAAGGCAAAGTGGAGCCTTTAAAACTTTGTTTTCCTTTCATTTAAATATTCGAAGTTCGCCTATGTTCATATTTACTATTATTGTTATTGTTACCATTATCGATTTCCAGGCACATTAGATATTTGTTTCTTCATTTGTTCCCTCCTCTCTTTTTCCTTTCTACGTAACTTGTGCTCCTAAACATCCAGTGTTTGTGACTAAGATCACATTATCTTGTATTGTACTTAAATATGTTAGCTTTGCAGATACCTTTTATTTTCACCGTGTATATGACCCATGCAAGTTGGTGTTCAGCGGTCATTCTCTGTAAATAACTTAAGCTTTCATGATATCATTCCAAACTAATACTGCACAAACTCCTATTCTACCATCAAATCTTAATGAATCGGCGATTTACTCTCTTACTAATTTATTTTTTGTTCCATTTGGTTGGACATATATCGCCGTTTATTCTTATTGCTTTCTCTTATACGCCTATTAAATTATTTACATATTTTGCACTTCTTCATTTTTTTCCTTGGTTTCTTTCTTCAGTCAACTCGATATTCTTCCTAATTCTACAGAACCTGATTAAAGGTGACAAATATTATGCAAACATTATTGAAACATGTGTATAATGACGTTCCCGAAGAAACCCGAGGTGATTTTTTCACAACACTTATGTACGAATAAGCTGTTTGTGTAGGACAATAATAATGAACTCAATACATTTTAAAAGCATCTCCATAACAATATTCATATACCTTTTCAATTATTCTTCACTTTTCAAAAACTTCACTTACAGCCGCAGAAGACAATAACTAACTCAACTTCGTTTTGTTATAGACTATTATAATCAGTCATTGTGATAGGTTCGTCATAACTTTCTTCGCTTTTTTTATTGTATTATTTAGTGATGTTTTAACTGCAATCGCTGGTTTGGCGACTTTCAATTCGTTTACGTCAAGATGTTGAACTGTGTAGTGTTTGCCATAAACGTTTTAATAAATCAATAATTATGAGTCCAATCGCACTCTCTAATTGTGAATTTACGTTTATTGTATTTGATTCTAATCCGATTTACATTCCGTATATTTCGTTTGAAAAGGTCTCCGGATACTGCCTCAGCTACAGAAATAGTTGATTTTTTAACTTAGCTCAGGTTTGTCTCTCTGTTCTAGAGTGTCCTATTGCACAATGCTAAAAAATATACAATCGATGTTATGCATTGATTAAGAACCGAAGACGTCTTCAAAAACAAACCATTAGTGCTGATACAGATTCCTCATGTCATATACCTCTTTGACTCACATTTGTAGTCCCTAAGTGGTCTCCCTTCCAACCAAGAAATTCTATTGCAAGCAAAACTGGACAGTTACACTAAGTAGTAGTACAGTCATGACCCTACGAAAGTTATTATAATAAAAAAATTACAATAATATGTCTTTTAGTCTTCCTTTTTTCCGTTTCCCTTCAGGATCCTAAATTAGTGCTTGCCTCGTGATTCATTTTGATTATTTCCGCAATGTATGCCCCATCTAGTACCAACGTCTTTTCCTAATTTCCTCTTCAAATGGAAGCTGGTTTGTTCACTTTTACAGTAGGCTGTAGCTGATGGTATCCAGCTAAAGGACATTGAATATACTGAGTGGACAACTCTTTATATATAAATGTACATTTCGGTCATGGTTGTGGTAGTTCTGTAAGTTTCAACTCCTTACAGTAGAGCTGTTTTCACGTTCGTATTGAAGATTCTCGCTTTGATGTTGACTTTCAGACAGTTGTCTTGGGTTCCATATGTTCTTCGATTGTAGGAATGCAGACCTTGCTTCACCAATCCTTGCCTCCACATTCATCGATGATGCCACCCAGATACATGGACCTTCCCACCTCTTCCGGAGTTTCTCCATCAAGTGAGATTGGATCGGTGTTCTCTGTGTTGTATTTGAGGATCACTCCTCTTCATTTGTGTATATTGAGGTCTACTGACGCAGAGGCTACTACTACACTAGTTGTCTTGACCCGCATTTATTGGTGTGTATGGAAGCGAAGAGCTGGGTCTTCTGAGAAGTTCAGATCTCCTGGCTGTATACAGTCTTTCTATTGTATTATTAAATGTACGGCTCGATAATTAATTCTTTGAAAAAGGATTCCTTCGTTGAAATTCGTGTTTATGTAATTTCAACCAGTGATTTCTGAGCGTTCATCTTATCTCATCTAGTATGGTAATTTTCTCCCTAGTTTTTTGCTAGTGAATTGCAACAAAAACCTATAGAGACCATGTTATTATTCACGTCAACAAAATACTACATTGCAAATTCGATATAAAACACTGTAGCATTCGTCCTTTCATTGCCCATTGATGTCACTATTTGTCATGAGTGACCGAGGCTTCAGTGTGGAAGAAATTTGTAACATCCTTACCTACTTAGAATCTTGAGAGCATTAGTGTTCATACATACAAATAACCAGCTTATCCAGTCTAAAATGTCCTTAGGCGTAAAAAAACAGGATCCAATTGACAGTAACATTAGGAACTGTCTACATAAACTGGTAGTCAAACCTTCCTCGATCACGGCTCATTAGTCTCCACAACCAATAATCAACTATAGTTCAAACTCTGATTTTGAGGAATGTTCTAAAGAAGTATGCATGACATCCTGTAGTCACTCTACCGATGAATTCGCATGCTGTTTTCAACCTATAACATTGCGGTTGTATAATCAAATAAGCGAAAAATTTCTGGCCCATGCTAACTGGTGTTATGCACCACTCTCTAGGAAAAGCTTGCCGAATTAAACTCCATCAACTTACTTCACTTCACAAGTTCAGTCAGAATGTGGATAAACATGCATTAACAATTCGTCATGTACCTATCTACAGTTGTCATCACCATCACTGCTGGTTGAAATCGTGGCATAATAACCAACACAAACTTGTTTGTGCTGATGATGTCTTTCAGAAGGACGATAAAAGCTCCACTACCAAACCATCCGATTCAGAGAACAAAACTCTATCAAAATCATCCCCCTGAGCTACAAAACTTTTCCACCATCTCATAATAACCTGTCTCATCAACTTGATGAGCTTGAAAATGTCACCGGGATTCAGACCATAACAACACTGTAGTCCGAAACCCCTTCTTACATAAAGATTCATAGTGCAAGTTAAACCGAAAGTTAAAAATAGAGAGGTGCAAAAATACATATTGATAAGTGAAAAAGTATCGGTGTGTACGTAATGTAAACTGACTTGTCGTAGTAAGAGATTAGTAAGATGAAATACCAAAATTACAGAACACTTATAGACGGTATTATCCGTTGATGCTGGTAGTATGAAAACGGATTGACTGAAAGAAATAAAAATTATAGTATGGGTACAAATTGTCTGGTTTTTCAGAATCATTTACTCAAAGAGAAAAAATGGTCATTGAACATTCACTTCAGATGCTAAATGAAACCTAAATATATTGGTGACTAAGGAATGTTTTTCTTTTTGGTCAAATTCAAGTAAGAAACTTAATTTTCAGACGTGTTAATCAATCATGAAGCAGTTGACCACCATTTTGCTTTTTGTTTATTCACTTGCAGGTAGACTCGTTTCCTGTAAACCGTTCGGTCTCAGTAGTGCGTTGAGAGTCAGGGCGTAAGGTCTGTTAGTGTATTCTTAAGATGTCGGACGACTGTTTCAAATGTGGACGTCCCGGTCATTATGCTCGCGACTGCCAAGCTGCCCCAAGAGGTGGTGGTAGAGGTGGAGGCGGGGGTTATCGCGGTGGACGAGGCGGCGGTGGTGGAAGAGATCGTGACAATAACGATGGTCGTCGAGGTACGTGTAGTTTTGATGTTTTGGGTATTGTAAACACGATATTGACAGTAAATTAAAGTTATTAGTCATGTGACACTTAGAATTGTCTCATAGCTAAACGATCAGTTGCGTACGCTTAGTTTTTTATGTTTGCAGACGGCTGTTTCAACTGCGGTGGGCTTGATCATTATGCTCGAGATTGTACCAGTGGTCGTGGACACTATGGTGGTGGTGGAGGAGGAGGTGGTGGTTATGGGGGATACGGTGGTCGCGGTGAGTTTGATGCGTTCTGCGTGATATCTGAATGCACGTCTGAGCATCCTGTGTAGTTGATGTGTCAGAAGGAGTGTTGTTAGTTGTGTGGTTAGTGTAGATTGTTTTGTGATCCCAATGTTGCAACTGAGTATGCCTAAGTATTTGTTTGTATATTGTAGACAAATGTTTCAACTGTGGTGGGACGGGACACTTTGCACGAGATTGTACAAATGATGGACAGCGAGGTGATAGTGGCTATAATGGTGGAGGCGGTGGTGGTGGTGGTGGGCGTTGTTACAGTTGTGGTGAGTCAGGCCACATCGTTCGAAACTGCCCAAATAATAATAGCGACACGCTATGCTACAGGTATTGAATCGATGTGATGTACTGTTACTTTACTTTAGATGTAATAAATATGGTCACTTCGCGAGAGATTGTACGGAAAGTGGCGGTTCTGGTCCCCAGTGCTATAAATGTCATGGTTATGGCCATATAGCAAGTCGATGCAATGTGGAGGCGTAAATGAAGTCCGTATGAGATGATGCTCAAAGTCGTAGTGCCCCGGTACACTTTCGCCCTGCACTCACGACAAGGCGAATGCATTAAATTGAAATATAAGCTTCCTGATAAATTCTTTCCCGTTACATTGTTTAGAGGCTTTTGATTTTTTGTCTGGACTTATCGGATGTAAGATTTGGGAATTGTATGGTGGACGTATGAAAGAAAAACCAGTTTACGAGCATGCACGTTTGTAGAAGGCTATTATAACATGTCTGAGAAACTCCACCTCATCGTCATTCTAATAGGGCCTTCACATTATTCGAATGAACATCAAGAACTTGGCTTAGTAACGTGTTGCAACAGTGTACATGTTTAGATGGTTCAGAGGGTAATATAACTATGCATGTCATCAGGATGACGCAAAGATTGCTTTAATAAGTTGCTTGGTGAACGAGAACTAGTCACCGTCATGCTGTCAACACCAGACTATCTTCCAAAACGAATTGTGACTGGAGCTCATCATTGCGTGTTAATCGGCTGTATGGGATTACTTTGAATGGATTCGCTTGAGTTTTCTTGACTCCAGTCTGTTTGTTTGCCGAATTGATGGTCGTAGATATTGCATCAGGGTTATAACAACTGAGGCTCATAGGTTATAGAAGTGTGGATCGAAATGGTCTGCTTTCAAATCACGTATGCAGATGACCAAATTTAAAATGGTAAGTGGGTATTATTTTTTCAAGTGGATGCATAGCAGTAGGTGTCCCTGTGCGCGGTCCTCAATTTTCTTAACTACTTTGGCCATGTCACTTGTAACTATTGCAGCATGGAAAGCTGATCTCATGACGAGCGATTGGTTCAGTCCTCGCTCTTTTGAATTACAGCTTCGTCAAAACGTGATTTCGTCCGCAACTGCAGTTGGAGTCACAACGGTTCTCTGGATTATCAAGAAATGTAGCATCATGTGTCGTTGTTAGAAACTGCCGTCCAGCAGGTACAAGGCTAGTGATAGGGTTGTTCCTAGCAGTACGGCGAACACGCATGCTTTTCGAGATTGTAATGCTGTGCAGAATGTTTCGAGATTCAGTTCCAACTCAAAAGCTTTCATTTCGATGGGTCATCAGATGAGTGTCACGCCTGTTGGCGCTATGACCAGTTAAATGCACAAAGAGAGCCCATCTAAGGAGTTGTGTAGCCTTGATTTCAAACCATCAGTATGTACGAGCTCCAGTGTTCTCAGGACATTTGATGTATAAACAACCCATTGGTGACCTGCAATCGAGGGACCTCATCTATTGACTTAGCTACATAGTCTTGCTGATCAAACTTTCAGGTAAATGGCTCCAGTGGTGACCCTCTAAGAAAACCACTTACTTTCGTTAGCACCCCAGGCTAGTATCATGGTTGCTACACAAATGAAATATAGTTTTCTGTCTGGCGCAAATGTATTCAATGCATGTTAATATTTATGTATTCAAATGAAAGTCACGCTGGAGTATGGGTTTAGTTCGGATTTTGAGCTGGGTAGTAGTTGTTTTGGACCCGATGAATGCAAGATCTTCAATGTGGTTAATCTGTCACTAAAGTTAACCGAGAAGGTTCTAACCAAAGGCTATGTTGAGTTTTATTTCAGTCAAACGTTATACGGGATATTCCTATCACTTTTTGATTTTCGTGTATATTGTTCATACTTCCATGTGTGCAACCTCAGTCCTTCATTTACGGGTTTTCGAAATCTTAAAATGGACGAGTCTAATTAGTTATTTGACATGACTTGCAAGGTTACCGCCTTGCTTAAGGCATGTATTTTTGTGTTACAAGACTCGAATGCTAGTCCTCTGTAGTTTTTCAAGTGTAGTACGTCACCGGAAATCCGTATTCATAATGCATTGTTTTTTGGAATTCAAACCTAGTGCATGATTAGCGCTCTCTTGATGTATACATAGTATAATTAGCGCTTTCTGTTTGTAGAGTTATTTAAAGGCTCCAGTTTTTTATTTAATATAACTGAACCTTGTTCGTGTTGACTTAAGAAGCAGCTTTTCCGAGATGACAGTAACTTAGAGGGATTAGGCGATATTCATATAATTCACCTCCACCGAATTATGGTTTTCCCATCATTATTAGCAAGCATGTTCGGTAATACAGTTTCAGTTTGAAAAGGATAGGAGGCTTGATGGCCTGTGTTAGTCCTGGCAATGATAGTCTCTCAGCTGGTCCAACTTTCTTTTGAAGGAGTCGACGGATGGAGCCTCAACCACGTGCTGAGGTAATGAATTCCACTCGTGGATTATTCGATGGGAAAGTCGGTAGTCAGCTGACAAGTAATTCGTTCTGGGCTTGTGAACTTTTTTGGAGTGTCCTCGTAGATTTTCGGGCTTCATGTACTACCGAAGTTCTTGTTGTTACTAGAGGCAAGTAGTTAATAAAGAACTGATCAGCATGCCGTAGATTGATGTATTTACCGTTTCAAAATCAACGTATTAGTAGCAAAGCGGCCCGATACATTGCCCAAGTAAACAATAGCTGCGTGACTTGAATATCAATCCTCGCTACAATTTGACTTGGACACCTAATAATCAGTTTGGGCTAGGTTTACCATGTTGCTAGTCAGAATTCAGTCAGCAAAAACACGGTGATGTGGTATTAATGACATTTGGATTAGTAAGCTCATGTCCGAACTGACAATAGGCAACTTACCGACTTCAAAAGCGTATGCTATTTTGTCACGTTGAGGAAGGTGAGCTACTCAAGTATCGTAGCTTGGATCATACCAGGACAACCAATACAAATGAAGGTCGGGACGGCTTTAACTTCGAAATTATAACATCCGGCTCGCCACTGTTTAAAGTTGAATTTCGTCCCACTATTTATAAGTTATGTTGGTACGGCCCAACTTTTCTTAGTCAAGACTGTTACTAGTTCTCAGTAATAAGTTAACTGAATAGTATTCAGCATTTCAACTTTCCTATAAATCTGTTTTATTTGAGCATAATTGTTTACACCATCTGTGTATGTGATGGTTACTCGGGCCTCCCAGGCACCGTAAATTGTCCCACGACGAAGTCCTGTTAAACTCGATCTTGCCAAACTAAATAAATTGACCACTTAGATATGGTGGTTTTCGTGTTATAATTCTGTAATCCTAATCTTCTTTCCTCAGTTCCTAGAAAGACCACGTTCATTCTTTGAATAAAGTTCTGCATCTTAAATGAAACAGGAAACGTCGTACTCGAGAGTACTCTACAAACTCCAGCTATTTGGTACCATGCGTAACAAAACATGGTGTTCAGGATAGTTATTAACTGTCATAATCATGCCTAGTGAAAAGTTGTAGTATTATGGAGTCATATGCTCATCACATTAATTCGAGGTTATGCTATTTGGATCGACTTTCAACTAGGTGCTACTCAGACAATCATTTATGTATTTATTTTGGTTGTCTCTCTGTGTCATGGTTATCAGCTGGAAAAGTCAGATCTTGTCAATTTCTTATCTTGTAGTACAGTACTTTTGCTAAGGTTCGCATCTGAAAGTGAGACTTTATGTTATGCCTGACCTGGTGATTTACATCACTCAAGCATCACTATTTTGTTGGTTTCAGTATTCACTAAGCTGCGTTCAAACTTCGGATAACGTAGTTTGAAATCGCTTCTGTTAATAATTTGAAATTCGAAATATATTCATTTAAGCTTCTGCTTATGTTGTTTCTTCCTAATTAGGTATTGCCATCTAAAGTGATACACAACCGCCGGTTCGTATATTTGTTGTTAAATTTAGCTGTCCAGATCAACATCTGAAGTAATGAAATGACCGAACACTGACCAAGAGCTGTTCAACCGAATCACGAGGAAAGTACGTTACTATGAAATAGGTTTGTCATCACAAGAAAAACCAAAAGGAATAGACAACGCAATAGTGCGGGACTTCAGTTGTTGCTGATTCACTCATCAGCTTTAACATTAGTAGCTCATTCAGTCCTGCCAGTTTTCACTTTTTGGGACCAGTTCTATGTCCATTTATTGTTTTCCATTTCTTTGATTTCATTAATTTATTGAAAGTCAATGTAGTTAAAGGCAATGACAAAAAATTAGCTGAATTTTCGCTAAGTAAAACTAAATATTGTAATAAACATTCATTTGGCAAGATGTATTGGTTTTGCTTATTTATGTACTTACAGTACTCTGGAAGCCCGAACAAGCATGGCGAAAAAAGCATAGGTAGTTATTATTTCTTATACAAAATAAATGTTAGGGAATAGGTTCACAGGGGCACATCACGTTTTCTGACATACGTGACATGATGTTATAATTGCAGTGACGCGTTATAGCGCTGTAGATCGTGTGGTTTATTGTAAGAGAAAGAATGTTTAGTGCTACTTTTGTAGAGATAATGTTAGAAGTTTGAATAAGTCAAGTGGCTAATGGTAAATGAAGTTTAAAAGAAAGTCATTCCACTGACAAGGTGTGGAAATGTAGCTGTGTGTTGACGTGTATAGCAATTAAAAGCACCAACAATACGTAACTTTAAATCATCCGATCTCCGAAGTCCTAGCGTCTCACTTTGTTACAATTGTCTACGAGCGTCCATGTACAACCGGTTATTAGAGTTTGAAAAATAGTTCTTAACAAGCTTCACGGTTAGTATTTTAGTGGGAGAGTCCGAGAGATGAAAATTGACACTAGCATAAAAGTGGGCTAGCTTTGTTTTCGTACTGTTAATCGACCGTGGTTGATGGCCATGTCCTAATGATTAGTTATCCTGTCGCTGGCATGAAGTTTGATAATGAAGTCGCTAAAGCCTTCAGCTACAGTAAAGTGTACTAACGAAACTCCTATTTTCTGATAAGTTGATAAACCAAGCACAAGACGAAGTTTATTCGCAGGTCTCAACAAGTCCAATTTAGGGACGGGAACGTAAGGTGATCTATATAGAAAGCAATTACTACTAGATAAGGAAACAACAATATAGACCGATGCATTGAACTACCATCTCACCGACTTATTGTATATGAAAATCTTTAATCTCTTAGGCGTGACTTGTCATGTGTACATTCGATGAGCAGTAGGTCAATGTTAGAGCGTGCTTGGAATCACTAACTTGTTGGTGGATGCAAACTACTTGGTTGGGGTCCGCGTGACTGTCGAAACCAATGGTTGGAGACTGTGCGACATGGCTCACAATGTCATAGGTGTATACATTCTCTATCTTCCCTTAAACTATGAGGTTAAAATTACTTTATATCTTTCTAGCA